GGGCCGGGCTCCGGGGGGGCGGAGCGGGCGGGAGGAGCCGTCCGCAACCCGGGATGCTGGCGAGGGCCGGGCGGCACTGCGGGCAGGGGCTCCGGGTCGATGAGGGGAAGCAGGCGGCGGCTCTCGGCCTGGCCGACTGCCCCTTGGCCGGGCTGAGGAAGGGTCGCCGCCTGAGGGGCGGGGAGGCGGCCGTGGCAGCCGGGAGCCTGCGCCAGGACGTGCCGGGACGTGCCCGCTTCGGTGGCCAGCGAAGATGCTGGTAAAAATAGCCTCAGCCCCTGGGGGAGGCTCCCCTGACACCAGCCAAGAACCAGTCCGCTGTTGCCTGCATGTCAGCTTGGGGCCACTGCTTGTGCCTGCCATCCCCGATATGCAGGCATCAGGTTTCTCCTCCCGCTTTGGTTTTGGAAATTTGGTCACCAGTTAAAACTGCGTCCTGTCCAGTTGGTTTAAAATTATTTTTTTTAATGCTCTATCAAGTATTTCCTGATCTGCATTGTAAACTTGTACCTTAGAGTAGTTTAAAAGACTATTTTCCCCCAAAAGCAAGCTATGCATATGCATACACATGCATGCATGTATTACATATACATATCTATAGTTGCTAGGGTATTTTGTTGTAATAAAAATAATTTTCATAGTCCCTTTTCCCCTTAACTGTTATTTCCCTTTACAAAACTATGATAGGATAGTTTCCTTTGAAAAAGTCTCATTCTGCAACATTTTTGAAAAAATAAATGTAAGTCAAGTTGCCAGCATTCTGTTCTCAGAAAAGACTTTCTTAACGACGTAATTGCTTTATATATCACTGGAACAGTCATTCTAAAGGACATAAAAAAGACTTGAAATCCACCTTCAAGGAACTTAAAGTCAGATTGCCAAATAAATGCAGAGAAATCAGCTGAGGGGGCAAGCTACAGATCATAACAATAAAATAAAATCTAAAGGAATGAGTGAAAGTAAAAGGAGACAAAGCTTCTTGGGGTTGTTGAGATTAAAATTGTTCTTTGGCCTTTCTGATTTCCTACCCAGCTCTTGTTTTAGATGGTTCTTTTTTCATCCGCATCACCTATTGATGCTCTGGAGGCTCCACCAAGGTTCTGTTGTTGCTTTACACATAAACTGGGCAGTCTGGTCTATTCCTTAGTTTCCACTTCAGAGTTAAACATTTATGTCTCCAGCCTGAACTGAATTTTCCACAGGCACCCCAAACTCAAAAATGTACAAAACTGGATTGCATCATACTTACTGTTAAAAGGGTTACAAACCATCCATTCACTTGGTTAACCTAGCTAGAATCTTGAGAGCTGGACCAGCTTAAGGGAGCTCAGAAGGGACCCACACTTGGTTTCATGTTCTGCTGTCCCAGGTGTGATATTTGAACAAAGGGCCCCACATTTTCTTTTTCCTCCAGACTCCACACATTTTGTTAGCAGGTCTCTAGCTGGGAGTCATCTTAGATCCCCTCTGGGTCACACTCACAGCCAATCAATCACCAGGTTCTGTAGTTCTTCGTCTTAATGCCTCTCCCTATCTTCTCTTCATCTAAAGCTCAGTCAAGCCCTCCTTTGGACTCTTAGATAAACCTGATGTTGTTATCTTCATCTCTAAACTCTTCTGTTCCAGGGCACCTGGGTGGCTCAGTTGGTTAAGCGACTGCCTTCGGCTCAGGTCATGATCCTGGAGTCCCGGGATCGAGTCCCGCATCGGGCTCCCTGCTCGGCAGGGAGTCTGCTTCTCCCTCTGACCCTCCTCCCTCTCATGCTCTCTGTTTCTCATTCTCTCTCTCTCAAATAAATAAAATCTTTAAAAAAAATAAAAATAAAAAATAAACTCTTCTGTTCCAGTTCATCTCATTTTGGTACATGACTTTGATTTTGCTGTAATGCAAATCTGATTGTATCACTAACCCATTTTAAATTTTCAGTAGTTCCCCATCACCTTCAGGATAAAGTCCATTGTTCTTGACAACTCGAGTACTTATGTCCATTCATTTACTGGCCCCTAACCATATCTCTGACCTTATTTTTTGCCCCATTTCGATACTCATCCTTTTCACCACCCACAGAAACTACCAAAGTTGATTTCACACTGAGATGACTTGTACTCAAAGTTTCCATGCTGTTCCCTCTGCCTGGAATGCCTTTCTCTGTGCTTTTTTTGCCTGGCTAACTCCTGTTTATCCTCCCAAGATGCAAACGAAATCTCAGCCTTTCTTAAAAACCTTCCCCTGATGCGCCTGCTTGCTGGGTAGAGCTACATTCCTCTTCTGTACCCTTTCAGCATTCTGTGCACTTGCTACCACTGCATTTGCCGTGTTAAACTGCCGTTAGTGACCCGGTCTGTCTACTCTCCTGGCCTGTAAGGAAGTTCACTGAGGGTAGGTGCTATGTTTGGCTTGTCTTGATGATCTGGGGCATTTGGCATATAGTAACTCTTCAATAAGTTATAAATGTATCAAACTGAATAACAATGTACATGAATTGGCAGAGAAAAGAATGTATCCCAGGAGGGATCAAATTTGTCCTGTCTCTCTTTTATGTAGACCTTTTTTCAAGCCCTGACTTTTAAATTGCCCATACTGCGTCTGTGAAAATTAGAGGAAAGCATACCTCCCTTAAGGTATTCTGTACCTTCAGCCAAGAAGTATCAAAATGCATATTCCACTCTAGGAGGTCAGCGGTATCACTGTACCCTCACAGATGTTGTGCCTCATGCAGACACACAACCTACACAACACTCAACAACCTGTTGTGTGAAAAATCTGGTGAGCAGATGGAATTGTCTTCTGTAGAGCCTTCTTTACTGCTTTGTGGAATTACAGAAATTGTATCTGCTGCATTACTCACAATGATTATTCACGTCTCTTTCTATTTTCCATAAGCCCTTAACCAGCCTGCTACCTCTGCCACCATGATAAGATTCCAGTAGCCTTCTCCACTATTTCTTGGCAGATGGCCTTGCCTTCCACATCCCAAAGAAAAAGAAGAATGTTTTCTCTCTTGAGTGTGAACTGTTTCATTGAAATGGGAGCCTGTCCTTAAAGCTTATTCTTTTCTCATTTATTCTGTATCACTTTCTTTCCTGCCTCCTAGAGGGTCTCATTTCCTACATTATCCTGCCCTGTTGTGAGATCTTTGGTCTTTGCCCATCTTGGCATCTTCCCCTCTGCCATCAAACATACAAGTCTTTCCCCAAATTGGGGGGTGGTGATGGTTACTAACAGCAACAACAAAAGTACAGTTTTCCTCTGACAGTACATAATTCTTTAGCTACAATCTTCTCTTTTTCCTCTTTTCTCTTTCTGGACTGGAAAATGGATGTATACATGTGGCATCTTTTCGGACTTACCAGCTTACCAATTTGCTACTCAGAGTTCGCCTTTGAAGGTTATAGAAGCACTTCTTGGCAAAGCAAGTTGAGCAACACTGCACATTCTTGGTTTTCTTACTATTCATTGTATTTCTCATTTTCTACTGTAGCTGCACATTTAAATTTTCCCAAGACTGTGTCCTTGGCTCTTTGTTCTCTTTCCTGTATGCTGTTTTTTACAGTAAACTGATGCACTCTCATGGATTTAATTTACCTAGAGGCTAGGGACTCTCAAATCTGTATCTCTAGTCCTGACTGATCTAATACCCATTCCATCCTTCCCCTTGCCTTTGAGTCATGTGGTTATTTCTCATTTAGTTTGAGTGCAACATATGTAGAATCTTCTCCCTCCTCCATTCCCCATATTTAGCTAGTCACCATTCAGTAAACTTGAGATTCTTTGAAGCTGGCTGCAGATTCAGTCAGCTCCTCTCACAAAGTATGTTTTTAACCTATCCTTTTTCGTCCCGAGTTTAGGCCCTCATTACCTTGTTACCTCAAACCTCCATTACGACAACATCCCCAACAGCCTACTCACTGGTAGTCCTGTTTCCTCGCTCTCCTACAAACACCTACACATTTAGCACCCTGAAAAGTATGTCATTCCAGGGACTCCCAGTTAAACAGACAGACTAGAATTTGTACCCAGCAGTCCAAGAATTTTCTCAACCTGCCCTACTTCTCCCTGCGTTGCCGGCTCTGGCCCACCTACTTTCTGTTTCCTTGAAAACAAGTGTGAAGCCATCCTGCGTCTCCTCCCGTTGAACTCCACAGCATATATTGGCCATACTACTGATTCTGGCACCTGAACAGACCGAATACATTATTGCATTGCTAACTATTTTATACCCAAATCACATTTGTAATAGCTAGAGAATAAGGATCCTGTCCTATATTTCTTTAGCATTCCTATTTGTGGTATTAGTGTTTAAACATAAAATATTTAATAAATGCCTACTCAATAAATAAGTTTTCCCAGAGCTCTAAAATATATGTAAGTTGGGCAGACCCATTTTGTGTTCATGAGGTATTACCAAAAATGTTATTCAACCATAGCCTAAGTTAGAGGTTCTCAAACTTTTTGGTCTCAGGTTATTTTTATGCCCTTAAAAGTTAACTGAGGATCCCAAAGAATTTTTGTTTATGTGGGTTATATTCATTGATATTTACCATATTAAAAATTAAACCTGAGAAAATTTGCAACACAGGAATACACAAGCACACATTCCGTTAGCTGTTAGAGCATTGATGTCGTCACATACAGTCATTTTCCCTCTGGAAAACTCCACTGAACATTCATGAGAGAAGGAGAGTAAGAAAGGTAAATAACATCTTGGTATTATTTTGAACATAGTTTTTACTCTCCAGGCTCCTGTAAGTGTTTAGGGGGCTTCTGCCGGTCTCCCCTGCCCATACTTTGAAAACTGCTGATCTAGGATAATGTTAGCTTTAGCCAATTGGGGTGATAAATAGCAAAGTGTGTCAGCCTTTCCAAATTCTTTTCTTATAAATGAAAAATATATATATATATATATATGATATCTATCTATCTATCTATATATATATATAATGAAACAAATCACTATAAATCATTAGTTAAAAAGAAGATGACCCACTGTGGAATGTATATGTCAACTCTTCCCCCAGATGAGCTAGCTGTACACTTTAGGGACACTGGGACTGTTCAAAGCAAAGGGTGGAAATGTGTTATCAAAGAGTCACACTAAAAGGTTCTTCTCCACTACCCCTCTAAGCATACTAATGTCCTGACTTGGAGCCTACAACTCAGCATGACTTAAAGTTTATTCATGGAAAATATGTCACTAATCATTTCAGCTTTCTTTCATTAAGAATTTGCGCTTCATAAATAAGTGCATTGCAAAGAGTAGGTATGGCTGTTCCATGGTTTTGTATTTTGTTTTTAGCAAAGTTCCAATGGTCCTGTAAAGAAGTCCATGCGTGAGAAGGCTGTCGAGAGAAGGAACGTCAATAAGGAGCACAATAGTAATTTCAAAGCTGGATATATTCCAATTGATGAAGATCGCCTCCATAAAACGGGATTGAGAGGGAGAAAGGGCAATTTAGCCATCTGTGTCATTATCCTCTTGTTTATCCTGGCTGTCATCAATTTAATTGTAAGTATGTGGTACAGAATTTTCTTTTTTTTAATTACCATGGGGAATTTTTTAGTGAAATCATGGACTTTGTTTCTGTAATTTCTTTTGAAACCCTCTTACTTTCTGCTTTTCTGTACATGTTTTATCCCTTATTAAGTTTTTTTAGATGCACAATTACCCTTCACAGTGTGTACAAAGAGCCCCTGACTTGCTTACTGTCCAAAATATTGTCTAACAGAATCCTGTTTTCCGAATTTCACACCCAAGAGCACGTTTTATCAGATGTTTCTTCTTCGGATATATACTTTGAAAAACAACAGGAGATTCCATCTTTTACACACTTATAGAAAAGACCACTGGCCTTTTTTTAATTTATTATTAAAGTGTGGTTAACATACAGTGTTATTATTAGTTTCAGGTGTACAACACAAGGGATTCGACAGTTCTATACATTACTCAGTGCTCACTGTAAGTGTAGTCACTATCTGTCACCATATAGTGTTATTACAACGTTATTGACTATATTCCCTATGCTGTACTTTGCATCTCTGTGACTTACTTTATAATTATAAGTCTGTGCCTCTTCTTATTGAGTTGTCATAAATGTGTTATATATTTTAAAAACCTAGTATGCTAGTATTACCATGTATTAATTTTATTTAATATATATATTCAGGGAATATTCCCTTTAAAGGACTTAACTTTTGAAAGGGTAGAGTCAGCTAGGTAGAAGAGACCTTTGCCATCATGACTTTATTGCCTTCACCTCTCCTAAAAAATATAATCCTTTCTGTTTTCATTCAGCTTTGCCTAAATTTAGTCTTACCTCCTCAACCAGATTTTAAAATTGTAAACCCTTGTTTGACAGCAGAGGGTAATGTTTTGTAGTCTTAAGTCTCTGTTGTCAAAGAAGGAAAGGATCTGGTAGGCCAGTTTACACTAAAGTGCTGAAGACCCAGTATGTTGCCTTTTCCAAAGATACTTGCTTTTCTAAAGAAGAAGACTTAATCCAAGGTTGTAACTATCTGAGGGTTAAACTTGAACCCCTCTGGCATGTGTGTAGATGACATATTCAGAGGGTGGCTATTGGTATACTAATGACTGATGAACATGGGCTACAGTGGTTCTAAAGTGATTCCATTTATTTTTATTTTTGACTTCTAATGCTTTTAAGCCAGTCCTTTATATTTTATGTACATCCAAAACGTTTGTGTCTAATTCTTCCCTTACGTTGGAAAGAGCTGGTACTGTAAATAGTTTACTAGGAGCATATGTTCTGAATTCATCTTATTTTATACATTTTGTTGTTGTTGGAAACTTCTGGTTAAGATGGCAAAATGAAGACATTTTTATCCCCTTCCTCTTTAAAAAGCTCATCTGAAGGTGACAATGTCAAGAAACAGAAATATCTTGAAAGAACGTGAGAGGCAACCAAATCCTAAACCATAATATATGAAGACAAAAAAGCAGGAGGCGAAATGGCAGCTAACTTACCAGAGAAGAAACTGCTTCTGTGTGTTGGGGACGGGGCTACAGGGTGTGTTGGTGAAAGTGCCATGCAGAATCATCAGGAATGGAAATACAAGTACCATGAAAAGCAGGAGTGAGGCAGGAACTGAAAACAGCTTTTTGAGAACCCTGTAGAAGGAGCCATGAGATCCCTAGCCTTCCTGTCCCTTCCAGCCAGCAGTTAGGCAACCTTGCCCCCTAACCCCCATGGTATGTTATAGAAGGGAGAGGATTCTTCCTGTCTGAGAATGCTACGCAGAGGAGGGTAGGGATGGGTTTCCATGCTGGAAGCGGGGAAGTCTGAATCCTGAGCGCTGAGACTCCGTTTCCCAGATCTCTAGCTCTTTTCTCAGCCTCTGTCTCCAGCTCCCTGGCACCAGGCTTATGTCCCCCAGGCGAGAGATGAAATAGCCTACTCTGGAGCAACCGAAGCATCTGGAGAAAAAACCTGTAGATACTGACACTTGGCAGGTCCCAGTGAAAAAGCCACCTAATCTCCTACTGTTTAGCCTGTCACAAGCCCCACCCCACACAGAGAACTTTCTGTGCACTTCTTTAAACCTCACTGTTAAATATGAACACTGAGTCACCAGGGATCAATGGATTTTTTGGGAAACTCCCAGAATTGAAAAATGATGGAGACCAAAAACACACCAACCATGGGGAAAATAGGAATTCGGGGAGATAGAGAAAATACAATGAATGACAGAAAACTTAAAAAACTAAAACCAATATCTTCAGAGAAATGAGAGAATATTACACCCACAAAACAAGAGTAACATGCCATTAAAAAGGAGCAATTAAAGAATAAGGAAGAACTTGTAGAAATACATAAGAATGGATGGATAGATGGAGAGAGAAAGAGATTAGAAGATAAAGAAAAAGAACCCTTCCAGAAAGCTCAACAAAATTAAAGAATCAATCCAGGAAGTGTCACATTCTGTTAATAGGAGTTTCAGAAAGAGATAAGAAAGAACACTGGGGAGAAGGTTATCAAATAAATGAACCAAGAAAATTTCCTAGAACAGATTGAAAACTATCATTCTGGGTCCAGTGTCATGCATAAAAAAGAATCACACCAAGGCCATTCCTGTGAAATTTAAGAAAACTGGGGATAAAGAGAAGATCCTAAAATCTTCCAGAAGAAAAACAGAAACAGGTTATGTATGAAGAATACAAAATCAGAGGCGTTGGACCTCTCAAATGCAGCCCTACAAACCAGACAGCAAGACAGCAAGGGCCTTCAAAATTCAGAGAGAAAGTAACACCAAACCTAGAAATGTCTATCAAGCTAGACTATTAATCAAATGTGAGGGCTTATGTGGACATTTTTTAACCATGCACACTCAAAATTTCCTTCATACGTATTCCTTCTAAGGAGGCCACTGGAGGAGGTGCTCACCGCAAGAAGGCACTAACTCCCAGAAAGCTGAAGGTAGGGATGCAGGAAACTGGGTATCCAGCGCGAGAGAAAGACGGAAGGAAGCTCCAGCATGAAAGCAAAGGAGAAGTTCGCAGTTACGGCTGTGTCGTAGACCCAGGGGGAACAGTCCAGATTGGAGCAAGAAGACCAGAGTTCCAACAAGCTTTCCTGAGAGAAAAAAATAGAACTCATAGAATAAACTATCTGAGAGGTTTGGACTCTGGAAACCTTTTACTGAGTGTCATTTTATAGAAACATTGGAGGTTTTGAAAAGATTCAGTCGGGTTTTCAAAGAAACTAAGCAAATGTGGTCCAGTGCTGAAGAAAGACAAATATGAAACTCCAAGAGACGCAGAGTACAAGAAAGGAAGTGCTCTCTTAGTTACAGTATTTGGCTTAGCAGTGAACAGTACTTACATGGTTGCAATACTAAAATACTGAACCTGGGTCTTGCCAGCACTTGAGATGGGAGCCGGGGGAGAAGAAATATAAATGAGATAAATTCTCATCTGCTAAAGTAGGAAATTAATAGATAAAACCTCAAATTGATGAGTGAGGAAATAATATATCACTTAAAAATCTGGAATAAATTCTAAATGAAATACCTAAAATTGTTGTAAGTGGCTGTTGCCAGACAAGATGTGGAGAGAGCAGAAGAAATAAGAAACTGCTCTTTCAGCACTTTTTGACTTTTAGCTATTTGCCTGTAATACCTTGATAAAAATAAAATGGGTTTTGTTTATAAGTGGAAAACCAATTGATGTGTTCGTATCACTCATGAGACATCTTCACTGATGAGACATCTTAAGGAAGTTTAATCCTTTGGCAATTACCTTTTCTGTTTTCTAATTATGTTAAATGTATGTTACCTATTAGCAGGGGTCTTGTTTTCTCTTTTAGATAACACTTGTTATCTGGGCTGTGATTCGCATCGGACCAAATGGCTGCGACAGCATGGAGTTTCATGAAAGTGGCCTGCTTCGGTTTAAGCAAGTGTCTGACATGGGAGTTATACATCCTCTTTATAAGAGCACCGTAGGAGGAAGGCGAAATGAAAACTTGGTTATCACTGGCAACAACCAGCCTGTAAGTTACCATATCAGTTGAGGGACATTAGAGAAAAATTCTTTGTAAAAACCTAGAGTTGATTATTGGAAATGGGTATTTTCCTTGAGAGAATATTCACAAGCATATTTAATAATATTGTTGGTCTTATAATCTGTTAATATTACATGCTTTCTTAATATCTTAATATGGTAGTAGCATTTTCTGTAATAGATTAGTTACTCTAAGAATAGAGTGTTCTCTTTATCCTCCATGCAAGGTTACCAGCAAACAAAGCACCTTCCCAGGTTGGAATACCCTGTACTTTCTGGGAGTCTAGAAGGGAATATGCCAGTCGGGTCAGTGGCAGCCCATGCCAAGTGGCTGCCGTAACATAGGTTCTCAATGGACTAGAACCTCAAGGAGGTAATCTTACCACCCCCTGCCCATCTTAGGTCCAGGTCTATCTATATGTCCTATTGTGACCCATGGATTTGTGCAGAGTAGTGTAAGCAAACAAGCGTATAAACCCTCATGTGAAAGAACTCTTTTCCCAAGTAGATAGAGAGGGGACAGACAGATGCAGTGAAAATTATTTGAAGTTAGTCTATTATTATAAAGTGTTTTTGATAATGTTCTTGATGAATTTTGGATGCTGTCTCCTTTGAAAACATATTCATGATAAAGTGTTTTCCTGAAGATTGTTTTTCAGCAAGGGACAACAAAGCTCAGTGTAGAAAAGAACAAAACCTCTATTACAAGTGACATTGGTATGCAGTTTTTTGACCCAAGGACTCAGAATATCTTATTCAGCACAGACTATGAAACTCACGAGTTTCATTTGCCAAGTGGAGTGAAAAGTCTGAATGTTCAAAAAGCATCTACTGAAAGGGTATGATTTATTTTGTTTACTTTATTAATGGAAGAGAATTACAGTCTAAAGTTACAAAGCGGGTGGGGAGTTTTGCTGTTTTATAGTGATGTGAAAGAATAAATTCTGGAATAGTGGGGAGGATTGATTAATTCTAGATTTGTCATCTGATCATTATCAAGTCACGTCTCTCTATCTCAACACCTATAAAATGTGACTGAAAACACTTGCCTTTCATATTCCATGGCTGAAACTCCTGTTCCTCTGTCTCTGATAAGAATTCTCACTTTAATTTAGAAACGCTTTTTATTACTTTTTTTTTTAATTTTCAGATTACCAGCAATGCTACTAGTGACTTAAATATAAAAGTTGATGGGCGTGCTATCGTGCGTGGAAATGAAGGTGTATTCATTATGGGCAAAACCATTGAATTTCACATGGGTGGTAATATGGAGTTAAAGGCAGTGAGTATTTCTTAAGAGTTTTAGAGAATTATTAGATTCTTGAGCACATAAATCTATATGTGGAATAGTATACACTTATTAAAAATGGTAATGTAGTTGTATATTTTTTGACATGGAAAGATGTTCAAAATGCACTTTAAAGTGAAAGAAAGTTACAGTTTGTGAAATATCTCATTTTCATTTTTCAATACATATGTACGTTTATAAAAACCTGGAAGGGTATGCCAAAATGTCAACAATGGTTGGCTGTGGGTAGCAGGATAACAGATGACTTTAATTTTATTTTTCTTTCTGCTTGCCTCTTGTTTTCTAAAAAATTTTTTATAACATGATACCTATATTATTTTAAAAGGCAAAAATAAATAAATTTCCAAAATTCTGGAAGAATTCTCAAAGTAAGAATTATCATAGGAAGTATCCATTCCCTGAAGTTGTTGGAGTTTTTTTTAATTAAAGATTTTTCATGCCCTTTCCTGAGTTTTATATCTAGCTATGTGAAAATCAATTAGCAAATGTATAAAATGTATTTTATTTACCCATCTATTATTAACTGCAAAGGAAAATGATTTTGCCTTTATTATAGCTATTGAAAAGTGAAGCTTTGTCCTTCACAGATTATATCTGAACTTCAGTAGGTAACATATCTCATATAAGGGAGCCAGAAATCCAAAAACGGTTTACCTGCTCACAGTTTTGATCAAAGCATATTTATTCAAAATGTCTTTGGCCACCTGCTATATGCCACTTAACTAAAGCTAATTAAATTTATTTTACCGAAGCATCATATATGACAAAAATAAACTTAAACCTAAGGACTTGTAAAATAATTATTTCTTTTATTTAAATTTAATTTAATTTAGAAAAAATAAGCTTTAAAAAATTAAGTTTTCCATTTTCATAAATAGCTTTCTCCTCTAAAACACATATTACAGTTTCTAAATAATAAAGATAAACATAAATGTGTTTCTTGCCAGAAACTCAATAGCAATACTGAGTATTTTTTGCATGTATTGTAGTTAGAAGCCATTCCTGAGAGAATAGTGTTGAAGAACGGCCACAGTGGGGCTATTCTTCTCAGCACTGGAAACTCAAAGAAGCAAGAGGTGTGATAGATTTGCATATAGCCATTAGCAAGTTACCTAAATCTTTTCTTTCTTTCTACCTGAAAATTCTGTCTGTTGATATGGGAAATATTAAGATACTTTGAAATACATATACATTCATACCAGTTTCTCCACAGTTAAAGAAAAACAAGCCCCCGGTACTGAAAAGATAATTAGCTTTATAATCCAGTTAATATCAGTGGCTAGCTTTTAAGTGTATAGCTAATTATTTAAAAAAAAATTTTTTTTTTTAATTTTATCAAACGCATTTAAAGAAATAACTGGTCTCGCAATTTAAAGAAAGTGAAATTAAATGACCACAAGATGGCAATATTGGAACAAAATTTCAAACTTCATCACTTAAGGATTCTGTTTATTCCATATGCATAATAACACTACATAGTCAAGTAGCTATTTCCATTTCTTCAAACCCAACTTTGTCTTATTGCTTTGAATGCCTTCTATAACCTGATGACTCTCAAATTTGGAACTCCTGCTTTAATCTCTCCTCTGAACTAAGACTCACATACCCAGATGACTTTGTACCTTCCCCACTCCAGTGCATAATAGGCATCTCAAATTCAACAAGTCTAAAATCTTCATACCCTCCCTCTCTCCCCAGATATGCCTTTCTTTCAGTGTTCCCATCTTGTTAAATGGTGCCCATCAGTCCATCAGAAAAGCCTTCTGGCTCTACCTTCAAAAGATAGAGTCTGGCTGCTTCTCATTGCCTCCACCACCACCACCGATGGTATAAACCACCAGCCACATCCTACTGCACTGTTGGAACAGCTTTCTAAATGGTGAATGCTTCCTCATTCGCCCCTGTAGTCAGTTCTCTATACAGCAGCCGGAGTGATCCTTTCTCAGAGATCACATCACTTCCACATTCACATCCCTCCAAATGGCTTCTCATCTAATTGGGGATAAAACTCAAAGTCCATTCCCTTCCCTAACATGTCTGGCCCTGAGTTATTTTTTTGACTCATCTACCAGTCGACTCCCTTGTGCTCTCTGCTTTAGCCGCACTGGCTTCTACAGGTTCCTCGAACATTAGCACATCTTCACACGGGGGCTTTTGCGTGTATTGGGTCCTCTGCCTAAAGGGCCCTTCCCCAGTTGCCCACATGGCTTACTCATATCAGCCAGTTTCCACTGCACTGTGACCTTATCAGAGAGGCCTTCCCTGACCACCCTATGTAAACAGAGCCCTTGCCTGGTCACTCTCTCTGCTTACCTTTTTTCCTCCAGTGATGTTTTATTTATTTTACCTGTTCACGTGTTTATTGTCTGCCCCTCCCCATTAAAATGTCAACTGTATGAGAACTCAGACTTAGCTCTCTGTTGATTGCTATATCCTCAGCACCTAAAATAGTATCTAGCACATAGTAGACATTGAATAATTATTTGTTGAATGAGTGAAAAGAAGAACAGGAAAGAGGGAGGAAAGAAGGGAGAGCCAGACTTAGGAGTTCCCCCCAAAAAAGGGCCTACAGTTCAAGAATGTTCCTGAAACAGTGGGCTTGAAGAAGAGAACCTTGAGGTGGTTTTCTTTGAGTGCCTGGTCTTCAGAATTATCTGGTTTGAATCTTCATTTGTGGTGTTGTAAAAACATTAGAAATTAGGGCGCCTGGGTGGCTCAGATGGTTAAGTGTCTGCCTTCGGCTCAGGTCATGATCCCAGGGTCCTGGGATCGAGTCCCACATCGGGCTCCCTGCTCCTTGGGAGCCTGCTTCTCCCTCTGCCTCTCTCTCTCTCTGTCTCTCATGAATAAATAAATAAAATCTTTAAAAAAGAAAAACAAAAAAAAAACATTAGAAATTAAAATTAATTTTCTGTAGGAGAAAAACAGTCTTTTTCTTCTCATCATCAGAAACCTACCAGTCACTAACTTTGTAAAAACTCTCTTAGGAAGTAACAAATGAAAATTATGTCTTACGTACTTAGGAATTTTGATATAATTTTAATGAAGTGTGTTATAACTCTTGATACACTTTATGAACTAAAGAGGTCACTAGTTGAATCTTGACATTGGTTTTGTTTTCTTTGTTGTTGTTTTGGTCATGACTTTACTGTTTTTTACTACCTGTTTTTCTTGTTAATATTCTAAGTTTTGCTTATTAATTTTGTTCTGTCACCACTTGTGGAGGTAAATAAATCATGCCATTATTCTCCTAATAGGAAAACAGCATCATCCTAAATGGAACTGTGATGGTTAGCACAAGTCGCCTACCTGGTTCCTCCAGTGGAGACCAGTTTGGGACTGGCGAGTGGGTGCGGTACAAGCTCTGTGTGTGTGCAGATGGAACGCTCTTCAGGGTACAAGTAACAGGCCAGAACATGGGCTGCCAGATCTCAGACAACCCCTGTGGAGACACTCGCTAGAGGAACCCGGGACTTCAGCCGTGTGTTCAAAGCCTGACTTGACTGCTTTTAAGAGTGTGCATGCAAGTCATGTTTTTAGAGAGTTTGCAATAACTCTCATTTTATCTACAGAGCACTACTGTATCTATTATATAATCTCCATATTTAAAAGAGCTCTCAGAGAGCCTAAATTTTAATACATTTCGTTAAGTTGCACTGATCTTCAAATTACAGTTCTAAAGTAATTATCAGAAGTGAATACAAGCAAAATTAATCTTTAAAGAAGTGTTTTTGAAATCCTGCTGTTCCTTGTCTAAAGGATAAAGGGCTGAAGCAACTGTTTAGACTTGCTATAAGTAAATTTTGGTACCTAATGGAGATACACGCACTTAAGATGTTTGAAAGGTACTCCATTAATAAATGTTACATGCTCCGTCTTTGGGCTTCTAAGAGAAAAGACAGATTTTTAGTGCATTAATTTTCAGCTGTATTCTCAGTGCCAGTGGAGTCATTAAAGAACTTCACATATGTGAGCTGGTAAGAAACTATGGTTTCTTAGTTTTGCACTAGGATGAAAATACTCTAATAGAATAGAATTTACTTTAATAGAATTTACTTGTTAAATATTGATGAGTACGAAGTGTTCACAATGTGGTAGAAATTGAAACACCATCCCAGCTTCAACTGTTAAATCCTGACGACAGCTGAGCATCTGACACATCCTAGGCACTGTCCCAGGTGCTGCATCTGTAACGTCACTGATTCTCACCACAGCTCTGGATGTAGGTGTTACTATCCCAGTGTTTCCCCTTAGGAAACTGAGGATCGGAGAAGTTAAGAAACTTACCTAATGTCACATAGGAAATAGCTGGCCGGGTTGGGATTGGAACTTGCATGTGATTCAAACCTAAATGTACCTGCTTCCAAATACTGTGTTCTTTTTACTATCTGCACAGAAGTCTTAATATTTAAAAGTCTAGAAAAATGAACAGAGACTAATTCAAACTTACCTAAGCAGATAAGAATCAAATAAAACAGCCATGCTTACTCTAGTTAAAAAAAAAAAATCAGTCAGTCTCATGTCAAAAAAAAAAAAATGGCCAACTGCTGTCAGGTTTTAAACTAGCTTAAGCCAATTCCAAAACATTATACTATAGAGAAGTCAAATTAGCCTACTTGTAGGTTACTGCAGTGTCATAACTGAAGGGGTTTGGCACCTGGGAATGCCTGAATTGGGTAAAAGGGTCACTAAGATATTTATACCCTCAGGCCTCAGGGCAACACAGTGAGAAGGGGGAGGCCATGGCCCCAGGCAAGTCTGTGGGCTGGGAATGGCTGGTGGTTCACCCCAGTGTGCCATTCAAATAGCACCCATTGCAGTGTGCACCAGGCCAGTACTTCAGAGATAGGTTGCAATGACAAGGGAGACAAATGAAATAAAAGCAAAGTATTCAGAAACCGTCCAGTGGGCAGCTAGGAAAATGCAGACAACACAACTTCATTCACTGGCCGGGCCGCACTGCTGTAAAGGGTGCTGATACAGAAAATTAATCTTTAAGTAACTTTTGAGTAAGTATGAGAACTGATCTCTGCTCCTCATATCACAATCCCATTGTGATTTATAACCCTCAAGCCAGTTGATTTTTAATGTATTTTATATTTGACTTAAAAGGAACTCTGGTATTATTAATCACACACAGAGCATCAGGGGCCGAGTTTTCAAAATAGTTTTGCTGTAAAATAAGCAGTAGAGATAAATCATAAGCCCCACTCTGCATTCAAGTAGAACAGCATTCTGTCGTGGCCACTTTGAACTGTGTAGATAAGAAAATCAAGACAAAAAATTTGCATTCCATCTAGTCACAGTTCTCTCTGATAGAACAACCACACGCCTTAGAGATTATGAATAGTCATTAAAGTGTACTAAAAGATATCGACTTACTATATAATACAGAGTACAGTTTTTAAATGAAGGAAAAAAGTGAACTTTTTTTTTAATTTAAATTCATTTAGCCAACTTACAGTACATCATTAGTTTCAGATGTAGTGTTTAATAATTTATCAGTTGCATATAACACCCATTGCTCATCACATCACGTGCCCTCCTTAATGCCCATTACCCAAAAAGTGAACTTTATGACCTGAGTGTTACTGTTGTGATATTCAGATCTTATTTGAATATATTCAGTGTCATTTCATATTTGAATGATGTTCAGAAAAATCCACTGGAATTTTCATTCACATGCTTAGTATATTTTAATTTTACATTCTTGTCTGCTCTATTTAGATTTGTTTTGAAAGTCTCTTTAAATATTTTTGCAAAAATCACAAAACACTACATTACAAAGTATTATTTATTGAATATAATTCACAAAGCAATCTATTTTTACTCCTCCTTGAAAAATACTTGTGTTTTTGATACACCTCCATTAAGTGCTTTTAACATGAGAGGGTATTTTGATATTTTTATAGAACTGATTGTAAAGGTAACAGGTATAGTATTTTAGGACACTTTGCAGGTAGCCCTTGCCTTTTCACTGAGATGTAGACGTGGAAAACTCCCTGGAAATGAGATCAAGAACAAACCATCCATTTCACTTGTGATCTATTTTGCATAATGGAAAAGCTTCAGCTCCTCATTCTCACCACCAGGTGGTATTTTTCAGAAACCAAAATGTTAACTTTGCCTCTTCTGGTTGTTCATCCCCTGCATTGAGCACTGATAGGAAAAGCAGCAGACTCGGGAAAGTAGATAAAGACAGGCTCTCAGGAGAGGGGGGTAGATATATGCTTGTTTAAATAACCGCAGTACTTCAGAGATAGGTTGCAATGACAAGGGAGACAAATGAAATAAAAGCAAAGTATTTCAGAAACCGTCCAATGGGCAGCTAGGAAAATGCAGACAACACGGGGGGGGCTGCCTATATATAGTCTGCAAGATTTAAAAATATACTTATTTGTATTCTTTTTGCATTATGAAAAAAATGAAATAAATTTTGTGTGATAGTTCTGATGATGAAAGGTGGAAATTCTACCTAGCTTTGAACGAATTTTTTTCTTAAGAAGATAAGAACGTTATGGTGCTAAACTTAACAAAAAAGAGACCATTGAAATGCTGATAATTTTAGTAGTCTTTTAAAAAGTGTTGACACGAGGCCCTATAGCTTGGGGGTTAGAACACTGGTCCTGTAAAAAGTATTGAGGGGGCAAAGACTACAAATTATACCATTCAAAAACCTATAACTCTGTTTCGGACTGCTACCCTGAGTGTCAGTTAACTCAGTTTGTAATAACTATTAATGATCTCTGTTTACAATAAAGATTCTGTAAATTGTTTGCTGTTGATTTTTTAATGGTTAAAATTCTAGCAGGTTTCTACTTAATCATACAAACATGATGAATTTATAGCTTGAGAATACTTAAATGCATTGGTGTTTATGTAATCTGTCTGGAATCCTGGAGCTCATAGCTCGAAGCTGTACAGTTCCTGTTTGGATAGTCCTACCCTCTGTGCATTGCAGACTCTCTCTAGTGGCTCCTCCCTTCGTGTCCCAGGGGAATGTGCACACTGTCACTGTGGCAAGAGGCCAGAGCCCGGAAGATGAAAGGGCAAAGGTTTGCCAAGGGCAGGCAGGCTCCAAGGGTGGATGGGTGGAGCCTCAAAGGCTCAGGTCTGAATCCCCACCTGGCTAGATCCAGACAGACCCATTTGAAAACTGCCTAAGGACCTAAGGTATGCCTTAGAAACTCTTACTGTTGTGTTCTTCCTACATCTTATCAAACATACCTTCTTCTGCTTTCTTCCTATTGTTTTAACTTCTCTTTTATGGAAGAATGGCCTCTTGATTTCTGCCGTACTTTGTTTTTTCTACAGCCTTCTCCCTATCTCTCTCACTCTGACACACACACCTCCAATATCTCTAACTGCTTCCTCATACTTAGGCTTGAATGTGTCCATTTAAAGACTGACATTTTACCTAATTGTTTCCAATTTCCTTAGAAAATTTTCTGGGGTTCTTAGGGGTTCTTTACCTAGTACATAAAAGTTTGTAGTATACATAATTTTTCTTTACAAATCAATGTATTTCATTTTAGGACATAAAATTATCCTTATATAGCTTTTTTGAACTCCAATTTATTAGTTAATGTATAAATCTCTTCAACTTAAAAAGAACCAGGTCAATGAAAATCTTTAACTTATGCCCCCGTAAGTATTTTTGAGTCATACGTTTCTCTTCAATACTGCAAAGTAACGTGCCTGTGAATGATGACTATATTTTTTGGTTGTTCATATTGTTACATTAACTTGGTGTATACAATTGTATTTACAATGACTGCAGCTTTGCATATAGAAACAAATACCTTTCTGGCTGCACAAATTAATTCAACTTCTGGTATTGTGTAAGAGGCCCGCTGTAAAAATAAATCACTCCTCCATGCTGCAGGGCACCTCTACGGTTCAAGGCCATGTGTATCTGGATTTGGGTGCCCTTCAAAATGTAGGAGAATTGACCTTGTATGAAACCAAAGTTTAAAAGTTACATGTTAAATTTCATTCACTCCATGCATTTATTCATCCAAACAGCATAGCCCTGGGACAGACTGCAGAGTATTGAAAATATAAAACATGAGGAGAAGGGGGAGGCATTTTATATAGTTCTTATAGTCATCATTTAAAAAAATTAAGAGTCTTGTGAATGGAACTCTTTATATATATAAATTTTCCACATATATATATATATAAATTTTCCATATATATATATCTGGAAATATATGAAATATATATATTTGGAAAACATAGCCCTTCTGGGAGCTTACAGTCTTTTGGGGAGTTTACTATCCATTTTCTTTTAAAATTTTCTGTGTATACATTTAGCCATTGTAGATACTTATTTTAAAATTTTCATTTTCTTCTCAATCTTTGAAGAAAAGGATACTTGATGTTTATCTTATCTTCATGGTGCTGATGCAGAACATCCTTTTTATAACCCATTTTGTTTATGTTGTATTTCAACTTAAAGTCACAAAAAAATGTAAATTTAATTTTAAAAAATCAAGAGTCTCCTTTGTGAGTCGAACTTTCTCTTCATATCGTTCACAGTTTAGTGTAACTGGATGGCTTGTCACTCACATAATAAACCACATAGCTGATTACAGGTTGTAGATAAGCATAATAGACTTTGCTCAGTACTAAGGAGCAGCAAGAAAACAGAGAAGTCTTTAATCTTGGTAAGTTTCCATCCAAAGCAGACTGCACAGTGAGTGTTCCTGGAATAACAGACACAGAGGTGAGGCCCAAGTGAATATGTATTCTCTGAAAAATCAGGGGAGGAGTTTCTTTAAAATGTGACATAAATGTAATTGTATACTATAGCTTTACCATTTTTTTAAAAGACTTAGAGAGAGAAAGCGAGCACGTGGGGTGGGGGGAGCAGAGGAAGAGGGAGAAGCAGACTCCCGGCTGGGATGGGGACCTAAGCCTAAGGCAGACACTTAACCAATTGAGCCACCCAGGCGCCCCATAGCTTTACCATTTTTTAGCTACATTTTAATGCCCCAAGTTCTAAGAAATCAAACATGCACTTAAATTGGCAATCAAGGCAAAATACTTTTCCTAAATCTTAAATTGAAAACTGTGGGGCGCCTGGGTGGCTCAGTCGGTTAAGCGTCTGCCTTCGGCTCAGGTCATGATCCCACGATTCTGGGATTGAGCCGCATGTGGGGCTCCCTGTTCGTGGGAAGCCTGCTTCTCCGTCTCCTCCCCCTACCCTCATGCTCTCTCTTGCTATCTCTCTCTCTCAAATAAATAAATAAAATCTTTTTTAAAAAATTGAATTTTCCGCTTATTTGCTGTTAATTTTCATATACGTTATTTTGAATAAGTCCATTTTCCTTTCTCTAGGCATTATGAAAAACCTACATTTCAGAGTCCTAACAATGCTAATAGGTCTTTATTTTACTGGAACAATGACAAACCCATCCAGAAAAAGCAGTCTTTTATTCAGTTCGGAGTGCCAATGGAATGGGTATCTTCTGACAAATTGTTCCTTTACCGGAAAGCATGATATCCATGTGGACAGACCCCAGCCAGCAGCCACAGTGGACACAAGGGCCAGTTTCCTTAGGGCTCTCTTACGGTCGCACATGAGAAAAGAAGACTGGAATACAAAACATCTGGACCTCAGTAACAATCGCATTCCGAACATCACCTTAAGCCCTCTTGCACACTTCCACGCTTTGGAAGTACTAAACCTCAGCAACAGTTCCCTCCTCTCCATCGCGTTGGATCTACGCAGTGCTAAGTCCTCGTGCAGGAAACGCCACAGAAGCAGCTGGAGGCACGGGCTTCCGTTTCTAAAGTTGTTAATTCTTCAAAGAAACAAACTCGCCGACATTCCCAATGGTAAGTATAATTTTAAAAGATGGACTAGACCAAGAAACAAGGAGATGTTTTATGCCCGTAAGAATTCCATGTTTGTTTTCAGTTTTGAAGAAACCACTGAAAGTAAAGCAATTTTATCAGGACAAATAAATGAGTTTCTTAGTGGAATTTCAAGTTATAATATGTGGAATTCATAGCCAATGCAATTTAATCTCCCATTACTGTAACCTACATTAATGTAATATAGATTTGTCAAGAGACACAAGGAGGTATTTAAGTGCTAAATAATAATGCATGATTTCCAATTACCTACTTTGATTATCAGTTATTTGCTACTACATATAGAAAGCACTAAGAAATAACTAGTTCATGTACTTTCAATGTGTAGCACAATTCAGATTATGTTGCCATATTTATAATATTTGTTTTCTTAGAATACATTTTGCATCTGCTTGTCTAGTTGTCCTCCAAATGTAGACTAGAAATATGCTAATGTATGATCAATATGTAAACTTTCTTATTATCAAATCAAAATCAGAATTCTTTTTTTTTTTTTT